GCCAGCCGCTTTGACAGCGCGGTGCTTGCTCCCGTGTCGCTTCTAGGAAGCCTGTCTATTTTGCAACACCTCCACGCGAGGTTTTTGCAGACAGCAGTGTTTTTTCCCTCCCTCTCTGTTTGTAAAGTTCTCAGACAAACCAACCAACATCCGCCCAACCCGCTGTTTAGGGTCTCTCTCCTATCAGCTGGATTTTGCAGGCGCTGTACAGTATTAGAATAACTCTGTTTAAACCCCAAGCACGGATTTCCCCTTGAATGCGCTTCACGCAGCAGTGAACTCCCGTTTTCCAGTTCCTGCGATCGGATATTGCAGAACACTAAAAAAGAAACCTCCGTCCCTTTTTGCAAAAAAATTGAAATCAGCACATATTTGGTTGATGGTTTCCTCCCGGCCTGTTTATTTAATCTGACTGTATGATAGATGGCATCAGATAGTGGCTTTGTACACACTAGGCCATTCTGGATTTTTTTTTAATGGATCAACAAACTCCGCGGGGAAAGCTGGATAAATACAGTGCCGCCCCTTTAAATGAGTGGGGATGTTTTTGAGATGTATTACTATATTAGGTGACATGGAACTTTGCATCTCTCATACCATCACTGCAATGTTGACCAATAGAAAGCTAAAGTCACCCAAAAACTGCCTAGTCCCTCCTTCCCCTCCCTTATGGTCTGGTCCTACCTGCCTCCAGTGCACAAGTCAAGGCTAATCGCGGGAATGCTATGTGCCCCCTTCGGGAGCCCACGCTCCACCACTGCTCCAGGTTGGCTGCTCCTCATCTGCCTTCCCATGACCCTGGGCTGCGGCCACTGCCCTGCTCTCCTCCACAATGTTTCCTAGCCCTGTGACAACGACACCCTTCTCGGTCAAGGATATTTTGAACCTGGAGCAGCATCAGAGCGGCCTGGCGCCCATGGAGCTCTCGGCGCTGTCCTCGCCCTCCTGCATGCTCTCCACCTTCAAGCAGGAGACGTACAGCGCCGAGCCCCCCGGCCTGCCCGAGCTGCGGGACGAGCTGCCCGAGGCGCACCCTGCCAAAAGCGCCTTCCCCAGCTCCTACTACGTTAAAAGCTACGTGGAAATGGACTCGGCCAAGGACTCCAAGGCGGACAAGAAAGGTAAAACGAGCGAATCACGCCAGGGCCGGGTGGTGGCTTGAACGCTGCTAAAAAGGGAATGGAGGAGGATCGGGGGGGAGCGACCCCGGCGCCCCAGGGCTGCGGGCTCGCCGAGGGCAGCTCGGCCTTCCTAGGGACCCTCAATAGAGCCGTGGGGGGAAGGAGCAGGGCGGAAGACTGGAGGGACCTTGCGTGGCCTTGGGCCCCGGCGGCAGCTCCGTCTGCCCGGCCGAGCCGCCCCGGGAGCCCGGGGCGGAA